TCGTAGAACCAAAGATATACAACGAGCGACACGATATAGTGTCCACGTTAAAACATTCCTAGGACAACCTCATGGGACAAATCCCAAAGGAGGAAAGAGTATCACACATGTTGTGGACTAACAAGAGAGTCCGATTCAAGTCACTTTTTTAGCTTTAAATGACCATTTTATTGTAAATCTAACAAAATAAAAATATATTGCAGAGGCATCTTATCACGAATCTTAATAATCAATATTACTTGTTTAATCACGAGTCTTAATAACCATCACAGAAGAATTTCTTAGATTTGGAAGGACCTGATCAGCACACCCTTTTGAATTCTAGTTGTGTTTGCAAATACATTATTGAATTGTTTATTATATATTCCCGGGTGCAGTACGCATAGCTTCCTGTATATAAAGGACATGCAAATGCAAGGAAGAGCCAACTTATCCAGATAGATCACCAAAAGCCCCTTAATTAGTTATGGCAATGCAATTAGGGTCTTTGCCCTTTGGTCTGGTGCTAGTAATTGGCTTTTCATTGCAAAGTAGCGAAGCTGCTACAGATCCACCAGTTGTTTGTGACACTATCAACAGGACCAATTTTGAAACAGGGTTCATATTCGGCGCGGCTTCAGCATCTTACCAGGTCAGTTTCTTAAAGAGCTTAATTACCATTTACTTTGCGGTTCGTATGATTAAGTAAGTTTAATTTTCTTCCAATGCCAGAACAATTAGCATCCATGCATGAATATTTTGACATCTTTACTGTGTACATACTCTTACGTATATTTGTGTGTACGTTTCAGTATGAAGGTGCTGTCCAAGAAGATGGTAGAGGACCAAGAATATGGGATAACTACACCCACCAATTGTTGGAAAATTGGCTTGCATAAAGGATACAAGGTTTCGGACTAGCGACCGGTCGCCTGCTATTTGCGACCGGTCGTTTCGAAGCAGAGTCGAAGTCTGGAGCAATATCGATTCGCGACCGGTCGCCTGCTATTTGCGACCGGTCGTTTTTAAGCATAGTCAAAGTCTGGAGCAAAACCTTCTTGCGACCAGTCGCCCAGCACGTGCTGTTTCTGATTCCTCGAGTTTTGGACTCCATTTTTCAAGGGCTATCGCCTCCTACCTACTTGCAAGGACTCTAGGGGTCACTTCTAAGTCAGAAGAACGTTGGCAATCAATTGGGAGGTTGGAGGTAGCATTGAAGGACATTGGAAGACTTGTTTTCAAGGTGTAGCCAACGTATGGTTCTATATAGGGTGGCTACACAAGTAACCATCAATACATAGCTTGTGGCTGGCCTAACCTGTGGTCTATG